GCTCCTTGCGCCTGCGGCGCTGCGTGGTAGCGGGGCGCAGGTCCTCCTCGAAGCTTGCGTTAGCTGGTTGCCTTTGCGTTCTGCTTCCCCTTGCAGACCTCGGGACTCTCCTTGGCGGCACTGGTGCGCGAGGTGGGGGGGGTGGTAGAGGTTATGGTGAACCTGAAAGGCTGTACGTGAAGGGGTTAAACGTTATCTGCTGTGCCTTTCGCTTGGTTGCTCTGATACCTACTCATGACTTTCCTAGCTTTTGTGGTTGTTTGTCGCAGTTCTGTGAAAAGGCTGCCACTCTTCCTCGCTGCTTGTTTCTGAAAAGCTAGTAAACGTTAACTGAGAGTGTAGGTAAAGCTGCAGCTTCACTGCCTGGGGCCCTCAAGAGACCAGAGATGGGGACTTGCGGTACAATATAACGAGGCCCTTTCCGTGTTAGAAAAGCCCAGATCCTTCAGGCATCTTTGTTCTTCCCTTCCCCTCTGCATGCTGCAAGGGGGTGGGGAAGACTGAATTACTTTGAGCCTCCAAGCAGTGTCTTGCGGGATTCTGGGGTCTGGGGTACTGGGGCTGCTGAAAGGTCCCTCTGTGGCCCTCCATGGCTGAATGGGCAGTGCTGCAGCTGTGTCTGCCTCTGCTAGTTAAATGAGATCCTGGTTCTTCCTTTGTCAGCAAGGAAAACAGCAGCTGCCCCTGGAATCGGCCCGTGTCCTGCCATTGTGGCCCAGGTTTGTGGGCTGTGGAATGAGCACTATGCTCTGCAACTCTGTCGTGGTGGTTCTCCACTGCTAGATGGTGATTTTCATCTCCAGTATGTTTTATAATTGAGCCCTGAGGGGTTATTCATGCAAAGCCTCTGGCTCATCTGGGCAAATGTAGAAGCTGCTGTTTATCAAAGCTAAACATCTTACCTATATCTGAGTTGCTGAAACAAGATTGCCTGGAGGAGAGACTGGCACAGGTAGGAAACGGCATTCAACTCATGTCTTTGTGATGAAAATACAGTTGCTTTTCCTCAGCTTGGTATTGTTAATGCTTTTGGGAGGATTACTAGGAGCTGACGTAAAAGTTCTTGATGCTCAGAAGCCTGGGAAAATGAGTTCAACTGTATTTTTAACTTTTTAAAAATACACTATCTTTAGATTCTGTTAGCTATTTTTAGGTTCTGTTTGCACACTATTTGATTTTAGTTAGGCTACTGTTACTGTTAGTAACACTGTGCTTGACTGGGAATGCCAAGGTCTTGATGCTCAGGTGAGTTCCCTGTTGGATGTGGGTGAGTAACAACCAGTCAAGAACTTGGCAGTTCTTCTGGGCTATGTGGTCATCTTGAAACTTTCAGGAGCTTTGAGTCAGCGTTCCCCTCTCTTACCAAATACTATGAGATAAAGAAGAATCTGGTATGCTATTCTGTAGGGTGGCATTCTCAGACACTTTTCCTGCAACCAGGGTATCTAGAAGACTGAATGTTTAAAAGAGTGAGTTACTTGCAGTAACTCAGCTTTTAAAGCAACTTCAGAGCTGTGCTTTAAGAAACTTGCTAAATGTTAGGATACTTGTGATCTACTACAAATGCTAATGGTGCTGCTCCTGGAGGTTGAGTCACAGAGACAATTTTCTTAATGCATTTTTGTGTTGGACACCTAGTGAGAATTCTTCTTTCCACCATGGGTGGAAAACTTTCACCATTCTGGAAAACACCTGACCAAAAGGAGAGTGAAAGCAAACCGATTTTACCCAGACAACTGGATGCTGAAGATGAAATCCCCAATTACGCTAGTATCAATGACTCTGCTACATCCTGTGTGCCCTGTGTGGGCATTGCACGTCGAAGCTATGTCAACTGTCCAACGTGTCAGGGAACAGGAAGGATCCCTGGGGGTAGGTGATTCTTCTGTGTGCTGTGTCAGTGCTTTTTGAGTCTTCTGAGGTTGGTATGTGTCTCTCTGCCTAAAGACAGAGATAGTTTTATTGTATCCAGTCTAGGAATGTCCTGTCTTGGTACTGCCAGCTCACTTGTGACTTCTGTGGGCTGCCTCTATTGGGGGAGGATGGGATGGGAAGGCAGGTAGTGCTGTTTCTAGATAACTACTCAAAGCCCATCCTGGAGCGCCTGGGGAGTTGTTTCTGCCCAGAGATGGGAATGCTCAAACTGAAGTCTTAGTTGCATCACACTTGCCTTCTAATTGGACAGCATCACCTGTGAGGTGAGTGCAGATGGACACTAGGCTGCTGTGCAACGTCCTGCAATGCAATTTACTTTATTTACTTGCGTGCTTAGTGTGGTCTCTGATCTGCTGCCCCCTCTTTCAGAGCAAGAGAAGCAGCTGGTGGCTCTGATTCCATACGGTGACCAAAGGCTGAAGCCTAGACGAACGTAAGTCCTGTGAAATTTTCCCCTTTTCTCATCTTTTGGATGTTTCTTCTGCGTATGAAGGAAAGCCTCAGTACTTCGGGTGTTTTGCTCTTTGTGCTCTGACTTGCAGTAAGTTTGGTGTTTACTGTGTCTTTTCAGCAACAGCAGATATTGGACAGTCTTCTGTGTGCAGTTGTTGGGATCTCCAGCTATTTGTACTGTAATGCACCATTGTCAGTGTGTGGGTCTCTACCCTGCCTCTGTTGTGATTTGGTAGCTGGCAAATAGTTCTGCACAAACCCATTCCGGTTTTCTGGCACCCAAGCTTTTATTGTCTCCTCCCTTTGAGCTGGAGCAGAACTGCAGGTGCTTGCAGCTGACAAACCAAGAGAATGATTGTGGCCCTGGTGCTCTTTTGCAGGAAACTCTATGTATGTCTTGCTGTGACGATCTGCCTGCTGACAACATCTCTCGGTATTTTCTTCCTGTTTCCTCGCTCCATTACTGTGCTGCCTGCAGGGCTGAAAGCTTCCTCCATTGGCTTTAATGCCACCACCACCAGTATATACCTCAACATGACGGTAAGTGCTCAGCTCACAGTCAAAGAGTGGATCTGAAGGGCTCCCTGCTTATCTCCTGTGCCACTCCATGTGTAGGCTAACTAACTGATCACTGGCTGAAGTTAGTCGTACCATTCCCACCATCTCAGTCCACTCTCTGGCTGCTTGGAATCAATGTCTGGAGTGTGTTGCAGCATCAGAGGTGTGGCTGGCCTGGCTGCAAGTGAGCAAGTCGCACAAAGTGGCCAAAGGGGCTGTGTAGAAGAAGCACTGTGATTAATTCTGGGAATCCTTTTTCTTTTGCATTCTTGAGCTGCTTGGTTGCCCCCCTCTGACTGTCATGGGAGACACTGCAGCGTACATGCTTTTGTGGCCAGGCTGGATGTACGTCTGAGGATTTGAAAGGGATGATGTGGTCCAGTGTTGCTGTAAGGTCATAGCAGGAGTATATTTAAAGTAGCTTTGCATCAGTAACATATGGCCCTGCTGCAAGGTGATTTGTCGTTTGGGTTTTTTTTGTTTCTCTCCCTAGAACGTGCTGAATATAACTAATAACAACTTCTACCTGGTCACTGTTGTGCAGCTAGACATAGAGGTTTTGCACCAGTCCCTAGTAGTAGGGAAGACCACCATGAAAACCCTGCTGAATATGAGCCCTTTGCAGAGCGGCCAGGTGAGCTCTGCTGTTTTTTGCATTTTCTCCTAAACTAATCTGGATGTCCTGGGTAAGGGAGGTGCTTATTGTATACTTGACCCACTTCTTTGTCATCTGTCTGCCAAATACTCAAAGCTCTTCCACATGCAGCTTCCCACATCCCACTTCGGGAAGGGGTGTTGTAAGAATTTACACGTTGCTGAGTTTGAAGCTAATACATTCCTGGGCAAGGAACATTATGTCTGCTCTTCGGGTAGTGGGCTGGGTTGTGTGCTTGCCATAAAATGATGGCAAGCTTAAAAACAGGTTAGACAAAACCCTGGTGGGAACAGTTTGAGCACAGCTGATCTATTCTTGGTGTAAAGGTCAGGTGTGTGGCTTAGATGATGTTTTTAAGGCCTTTTTAGATCTAATTTCTGATTCTATTTTCAAAACAATTGTTAGGCTAGATCTTGAAATTCAGGTTCAGACACCTAACGAGAGTCCAGTTCTCCCTACTTCAGCTCTCTGAATTGTATACAAACGTAACTGTAGTTCTGGTGTACTTCCTGCTTTCTCTTCCGTTCACGTTTGCAGATCTATTATATGGTGGCCAGTAGGATATTGGACGACAACACCTAGTGAGTAATTCTTGAAGATTTCTTCCCTTGGTTAGTGAGTAACGTTAATGCTTATAGGCTTTTCATTACTAGATTTCTTGTGGTGGTCCTGTCTGTAGAGTGAAGCTGAGTGAGCATGTCCTTTTCAGTTTAATGTGTGGAGCTGATCTGGATACAAGTCTGGCACATCCATTTTAAACTCATTTCCTTTTCTATTTATTGGTATTCTCTGCTTAGTGTTGGCTCAACAATGTCATTTTCCATACATTCTGATGAGTAAGTGATGATATCAATTTGATGTCTAGGTTGTCAACTTTTGCTGCTCACAAATGGAGCATTTAAGGGTACCTTGTACAAACTGCATTTCTCTGCAAATGACCAGCAAACTGTGTGAAGTTCAGAGCAACCAAAGCTTCTGTGCAGACGGGGTGGTGCATTGCATATTTACAAGGCCCATGCTTACTAGATCCACAGTTACAGAGTTACACCAGCAAAAACATGTTTTACTGGTGTACATGCTGCTGTGCTTCAAGAACTTTGCCTACGTAGCTGTTGTCAGAATATTGCAAAGGCAGATCTTTTTGGAGAAGCAGAGAAGCAATGGAATAACTGGGGACAGGAGACACATGGTGCAGGCAGCTCCTGTGAAATTAACTCTCTTTTTTTCTCTTGTAGTAACATTTGCACCTGGACAAAGGTCAAAGTTCACAATATTCTGCTGCATATACAGTAAGTGATGCCTGGTTCAGAGCTATAACTAACATCCATGTCATCTACGTTGTTTCTCAGCTCCCTGCAAGAATGTCTACAGTCATTGTTCTTTGAGACCAGGACTGCCTGCAGTGTGAATGTGCTGTTACCCAGATAGGTGTGCTGAGGTGTGAGGAGGAGATCATTCTCCAAAGCCATCACTGCCCTGAGGAGTCCCCTGGATTCAGGCTTACTGACAGCTCAAGCTGTCACTGTTGCTTAAGGCAAGCTGGCCTGGCAAACTTCCTTATGGAATAGTGATTGTAGCTGTTGGGAAGTAATTTGTTGGTCTAGAGCTAGAAGTACTGACTAGTTCGATTATGCCTGCTTGCCTCATGGTGTTGGGGCAGACTCATTCAGCCTGGACTCTGTGTGGATGATTGCCTTCAAGTGTTCTGACAGCAGCTGCCAAGAGCAAGGCAGGACAAAGCAGACTCTTCTGCAGATTCTGTTGCCTGAGGCAGTTCCTGTTCGGGGGATGGACCAGAGGACCATGCTCAGCTTGACTGTGTTTTAGAGTACGACAGGCCCTGCTAGGAAAGCAAATGCAGATTGGCTGTTCCTCCCTGCCAGGGAGGAAGGAGTACAACTGCAGTTTTACAATACAGATCCTGCTGGGACAGGTTGCTACTGTTCTGGTCAGAGTTAGCGCTAAACCCGGTGTGTGAGACAGGGAAGCTCCTGCGAGGTATAGCAGCGCTAGAAGGCTTCCATGCAGCCATGAAAGAAGTGGTCTTCATTAGCTGAGTTTAACTCAGTTGCACTTTGGAAAACTGCAGCAGAAATTGTCTCCTTGTGTAGCCTGTGTCCACTAGAGGGATCTCCCTGCACATCTGTGTTGACAGACTCCAGGTTGTGAGCCTACTCTTGAAGATGGACCTCTAGGTTCACCATCTGCAGACTGTTGTCACCAAGTCCATGACGTCTTCAGGAAGGAGGAACTACTTTTGCATCATGGTCTTTTGTGCTGATCTAAAGCCAGGGCTTCACCTGCTCTATCTGGAAATGGACTGTGAATATTAGGAAAAGCGTTTGATTGGAGAAAGTATGTGAATCTCTTGGAGGCATGCCAGGCTGGAATTCTCCCAAGTCACTAAAGAAATGTCACTGGCGATCTCCCGAAACACAAATGTTCAAATTGCAACAGAAGACCAATATTTAAAGGGCTGTATTGTCAAGTTTCTTGTTTTATGGGACTTAATGCAGGTTTTAATTGTAATCAGTGCTGACTGATGTGAAGTTTAAACAGGTAAAGTACGCAGAGAAGCCCCGTGCTACTCAAAGCATGGTAAAAATGGTGCGTTTTGGACAGCATGGAGAATGGCTCTGGCTGTTAAGGCAACTTTGTCCTTCTTAGCTGATGCTATGGGCTGATAGGACCTTTGATCTCTCTACCTGCAAGCTCTCCATTAGCCAGAAGCTGAAGATGATTCCAGTCATCTTTACACTTTTCTGTACCACATCTCCTCCTGCCAATATTATCCACTGATGGATTGCATAGTGTTAGGAGAAACTACTTGATGCAGGTGGCACAGAAAGATAGTGATTGAAAGATTATGCTTTTGTCTAGCTAACTCCATAAACAGCCACCCACTGTGACGTGCACTAGCACTTTGGGAACAGGTAAATGGTGAAATTGCACATGAGGGTTACGCTGGGGTAGGAAGTCTTAATGGGCTTCTAGGATGGCCAAAGCACCTGGTTGTGATGGTAGTGATCTTGTAAAGGCTGTCTTTAATGTAATCTGAAAGATGCTTTCCCTCTCCAACATGTGAAATTGAGCTGAGGGTATCTTGACTGTTGTTTTCTGGGGCTATGTAATAGAGACAAAAGAGGATGGCAGTGGGAGCTCACCATGGGACCTTTATGTTATGAGAAGTCTCATCTGGGACAATCACAAGTGCAGTTCTGGTCTGCTTTTGCCTTGCAGGGGTACCCTGACCTGCACGTACCTGTGTCATTCAGAGCAGCTGACTTTTGAAGACTACCAGTACGTGGACTGCCAGGGGAATGCCACGCTACCTCGCCCATTGTACCACTGCCTGCCATGACAGGGCCAGGTTGGCAGAGCTTTTGGGTGCAGCATATTCTACCACAAAGGCAAGTCATAGGGAGACAAACTTCTGGGGCTTCTTCTCATTCTGTGCCTTAAACAGGATAAGACTTCCATGTCTTGTGCAAAGATGGTAACGTACTTGGCCTTATGAATGTGGACTCTGCTGCCCTCAGATTGCAGCTTTTTTTTTTCAGTGCCTTATCATGGCTGACGCTTCAGCAGAGTGACCAGTGTATGAGGGGGGTGTCTCTGCGTGGCTGATGGGAGTGGGCCACACTCTTGTTTCACTACTGCTTTGGAGGCAGTGCCCTGTTAGTCAGACTAACTCCTAGTTGTTTCCTCCTTGCATAATTTTGCACTTCTGTCCTGAATTTAAGTATTTTGTAACTTGAAAAAGGACTGTGATGAGACTTTTTGGCTGGATTGCATCTACATCACCAGAATCTAATGACCGTTGTAGAACCTGTGCAACAAGAGCAAGAAACAGGACTGATGTCTCTATATCTCTGGGTCTTAAGAAAAACTACTGCATGTCATGCCAAAACACCTTGTGAAAGTGACTCTTGGGTGACTGCTGTTTTAAGCTGTCCAGTATAGGAGGTGAGAATATGCATTTTTGTATATATGTATTTTTAAAACAAGCTCATCTGCTAGCTGTTCCTTAATGGCATCCATTTCAGTGAGAAGAAAATGCATTTTGTATCATGAACCAAAAAGATTGCTACTTTCCAGGCAGCGGTGTGTAGTGGCCAGCTCATGCTGTTTGCTGTATTGTTTTCTTGTATGCTTTGGCATTTAATGCTTTCAGCTTGAACAAGCATGAGAGAGTTCATCTCTGACTGGAAGAGCTTAGTTTGCACAAATATCAGGAAACAGCTGGCTCTGGGGTGTGGTGTTTTGGGGTTGTTTGGGATTTTTTCTGTTTTTTTTTTTTTTGTCTAAAGCTGGAAAAGTACCCAAAAGACTTTACAAGGGGAACAGCCCTGGTAGCCTTGTCTCCTCCCAGAGCTGGCGGTTGTATCCCCCAAACGATGGAGGAGTTAAACGTTATTCTTTAGGTTCTAGTTTAGATGCTGCCTGATGCATTCTAGATGGTAAAATAGGAGCCTGGGAGTTGCTGGACTAAAATTTTTACTCAGCAGTTCAGCATTTTCCTGCGTCTGTCCCACTGAAGGATAGAACCAAAGCATCAGAATAGTTGAAGACTGTTGAAGAAAGTCTCTGATCCTGTCTTCAAAATAATGCTTCCTAAACCAGCACTTCTTACAGCGCTCTTGCAGAATCTCGCTCCTCACTGTATCATCCGTTGAGATCACCCTGAAATGGTAACTAGTCGGCTTCCTCCCTGAAGCAGGGATGAAGCAGCTCCAGGTCCCATACTGAAATCCTCCCTGCTCGTCACATCTCTACAGTGCATTTTGTATTTGCCGTATTGTTGATTCTGCTGTGCACTTCCCTCCCCTGCTGCTGGGTTTCCAGCTGTGCTTCTGTACTGCTGTCCTCCACTTGTACCGTTGTCGTCTGTTCGCAAATAAAGGGCCTCGTGCAACCAGAGGTGGATGACTTGTCTCTGTGCGGTGGGTCTTCACCCTTGCTGTAGCCGCTGTACAGCTCCAGCGCCACAGTGACTTGCCCACCAGCAGGTACGGGGGCATGAAGGGAGATGGGAGACTTTACGGGGAGAAGGCTTTAAGAAAGAGGCGGAGCTGAGACCAGGGAATAGCCCTTCCCTGGAAGGTGCCCGAGGCCGAGTCAGACAGCTGTGGCCAGCTGTGCCCTCGGCACGTGTGGGTACAAGCATCC